TTATAAATCACATTATACACGAATATTTCCCACACTCATTGCATACTATATTTATGAACAAAAATATTTTAACCAATGTGTTATCATTGAAAAATCATTAAATATTTATATCTTCTCGGTTCGGTAAACAAATTATGTTCATTCATGTAATAATCATAATGTTATAATAATATGTAGTTTTATTTAACTATCAAATGATTATAATTCGCTAACGGATTGCAAAATAATTTATTAGGTTAACTATTATTATACCAACAAATACCAATATCATTCATTAAGATACAGTAGGTTACAAGTGGGTCACTGTATAATGGATGATATTAAATTTGAATTCAACGATATAATATCATTGTATAAGAAAAACGATTCTGAGCGGAGACGGTATGTCAGTCTAGGTATAAGACATATTATATACATATCTATGGTACTAAACCAAAATTTGACCTATAATAGGTACCTATAATAAATTCCAAATTAATCATAGCACAATATCCATTTGGTACTTATAACGCGTTATACATCAACAAAAACCGTGATTCTATCATAGATATATAATAGTACACTTTAGAAGTTTCAAGTACCCACGCATAATATTATTCAATCACAACAAAATAACTAAAATAGTTATTCTAGGTTTTTTAATATGTAATTTCGTCCAAATTTGAATTTAAAATGTCTGTAAAAAATAACTGTGTTCATATATTTTTTAGATTTTTTGGTTACAGTATGAACTGTTTATGAGAAGCTTGGTTTTAAATTTGCAATCCTTAGCTATAAAAACTGAACATTTTATTATTTATTAATTACAATGATTGATAATTTTCAAGATTTTGATAAATTTTGTCAAAATTCGATCTCTAAATGTTTATAAAAAAAAACTGTGCTTATGTATTTTTAATATTTTTCAACTGATATTGTAATAATATATCAGGAGCCTTGTATTAAATTTTTTCACTTTTTGGCCCAACGGATAAAACTTTATTGATATTTATAGAAAAAAAAACTAAAAAAAATTGAAAGCTGTAAATACAGCTCAAAAAGAGTCAAAATATTTTCAAAATTGTATGGTGTATAGGAAATGCTAATATAAACATTCAATAAAATTTTCATGTATCTATATTTATTCGTTTTTGAATTACAACAAAATAAGGAAATCGCTTCATGAGAAATCGAGTGAATATCCAATGTTGTAAAAATTTGAATTTCAAACGCTCATAAAAATTTAATTTGACTTTCTTATAGACATTTTTTTTTTTTTGATAAAGGTAGATAATCTTATAAGGAATCTCGTATTACATTTTAAAACCTTAGATTTAAAAAGAAAAATTTTTACGAATTCTTAACTCAAAATAATTTGCTAATTTTCGTGATTTTTCCATATTTTGTCAATTTTTGAAGTTTAAATGCTTATAAAAAAAATTGTGACTAAGGATTTTTAATATTTTTCATCTGCCTTTGAAACAATTATACTAGGAACCTTCTATTAAATTTTCAAGCTTTCGCTACCAACAAATAAAATTTTATTGATATTTTTAGAAAAAAAAACTAAAAAAAAATGGAAAATGTCCCTAAACAGTTCAAAATAAATCAAAATATTTTTAAAATGTTATGGCTGTCTAGAATCACTTAGGTACCTACCTACTTCTATATACATAACGACGTATGTTTCTTATTAAGTCTTTTCAGTTCACACAATAAACCTACGTCTTATTTTTTGTACTTGAATTTATACAGTCATAAAATTTCAATCGTCAATAAAATGTTTATCACATTCTTCGGGATCATTGTTCGGGTAACAATTATCTTAGTACTCCTGAATTTAAAAACCATCATCCGATGGAATCAAATTATTGATGATTGGATTTACGAGTGCAGTATTAAATTTAAACAAATTACAACACTTTTATATAATGATAAATAATAGCGAGACATGACTACATGAGTAATTTTTTTATCTGGAACCAATTTCGTGCGACGAGGTAAAAATGTTCACCTTTTTGCCTTTTTTTGACTTACCTTACTTTTCGACTAGGGAAAATAATATTCTAATTATTTTGTGATAGTTTTTGTGTTTAAGTAAACCGTCGTGGATAACGGGAGAACATTCAGGCTACACCCCCCCCCCCCCACCCCCAGCTGTCTGAAAATTATACTTCCGCTATCATGTTAGATCTCTGTTTTATTTTTAAACTACAAGTTTATTGTCCAAAATTAATTTTAAGCTTAAGCTTCCTTGGTCCCTAATCATAGCACTATAGGCAACTAAATACTTTGTACGTACTTACCATTCCCGTCTACCAATAATTATAACGGTTGAAATTCAATATGTTTTTGATTATGTTTGTATTTTGATATGTTGGCCTAGCTGTATCGCTAACCTGTTGTCTGAAACGTTCGGCTGTTATTATTAGTTTTTAGACTTATTATCATGACAAAATAGATATGTTAGCAACTTTTTGATGTGCATTGTGTCCGCCGACCACTACGTCCATTAACTGGGTAATCTAATAGGCAATGAAATTACGCAAACTACGACTTTGACTGGGAAGGGTAGAACTGGACTAAAACTCGTACAACTGTTGCCGACTTTACGGTAGCTTGTGGAAATTTGAAAGCAAATAAATTGTTAATCACTATTTAAGCTTTTAATGTTGATATATTTTACCTGCCTTTGTAATATTTTTTATTAAACAATTAGTTTCAATCAGTAGCTATGTTAGAGTTGTTAAGAGCTTAAAAGGCGATGTCCACCAGATATCTTGAAAATATAAATTTTATGAATAAAAATGATTCTTAATTATTACTGAAAGGTACCTACGACACAGTGACACACAATTATAGTCCCTGCAAGGACACGTTTAAACATTATCGTATATTATTATTTTGTAATTATTTTTGTGTTTAAGGCAAACGGATTTAAACATTATTGTATTATAATATTATGATCATATTAATATTTTGAGAATGTTTTTGTGTTTAAGGACAACGCTGACACCCAGAACGGGAGAACACCGCAGCAGTGGGGCGATACTGCCGATGCCGCCGCTAACTTCCGGTATTACGTGGGGCCAGTGCTATATTGCACTCAGCCGCTACCACCCCCGGCAAGCGTCATCATTGCCGCAAACTTTGCTTACCCGCCGTCACCCCTGCCGGAATACTACATCGGGCCGGCAATTTTCGATGTAATGGGGCCGCCACCGATGGCATGTTGTGTAGCAGTATCAAGATTATAAAGAGTATAAATATTCACGTATCCGCCGCCTCCTCTTTCAGGGTCAAGGCAACCGTATCCGTATCCGTCGCCGGATGCAGACCCACACAGCAATTGTCCAGAAATTCGTTGGTCTAGAATTGTACCGGTATAAATGTGTAATCTCCTCATTTCCTTTTGCATATCACAACTTATCACGTAATATCATGTAATATTAATTACTAATTGCATTGTTAATTATTTTGTACCTAAAAATGTCTTGTTTAAAATATTTGTATAAATAAATGTATAATATGTATAAGGGTCATAATAATTGGTCAATTTTGTCAATTCTTTATAATATCTATCATAATTATCATTAACATGTTTAGTATCTTAGTATCTATCATTATTATGTACCTACCATAAATGCATTATAAATGTATTATAAAAATGTACCATAATAAATCCAATAAATAAATAAACAATGCATTTATTGTAACATCAATACATTTGTTGTTTAATCAAATTAAAAATTATTACTTGATATTATTAAAAATCTAAAACATTAGAATATTAGAATATAAACATTAAAGGATAAGTGAAATATTGTAAAATATAATAATAATAGTGTTATACTGCTATTACAATATGAAATGCTTATACATCGGCGTACTTCCTATGTACCCATGTGTCAGTATGTGTGTCCGTGTATCGATCATAACATTTTGTGTCGTGTACAATAATCTACCTATCTATAAAATGTACAATTATTAATAAATACAATTGATCGATAAGTGCTTTAAAAAAAAAACTGTGTCTATGAACCGTTAACACTCGACAACCGTAATATTATTAAATGATAAAAATTAATTCTTATTAGATATTTCAAAAAAAATTTATATTAGATTAAACCGATTTTAAACTTCAGTGACTTTTCCGGTGGAAAGTGAATGTACCTAGTTGGTGCATTGAGGAGGTCAAAACCTCCTAGTATTTTACAAAATGCCTGGAAAGACAAAAAGAAAAATTAAGGACAAACGGGAATTTTTACTCAAAACCGGTTCTTGATCAAATCTATTTGGTTTTTGGTGTAAATAATAAAAAAATTAGATACCTATTACCTACATGAAATTTTCACTGAATGTATAGGTTATTAGAAATTTCTATGCACCATTATAAAATACAACGTTTCTCGTAAGTTGTTGTTAGTGGAAATTAAGAAAAATGATGACCGTAAATCCACAATAACTATTAGAATCTATGCCTACATATTATTATAACATAGGTAATATATGAGTATAAGATGACGAGCCTCACCACCAGCTGCAGACAGTATCAAGCACCGGGTACTGTTTTCCCGGGCCAAAAAATGACCGTTGGTTTTTTGATCCCGATACCATAGACCCCCGGAAGCAGCACCCACCAACCACTTGTCCCTTGGCTGGCGCTGCTCCCTGGCCGCGGTCGGCATGGCGACGGGGCCGCAGACGTAAACAACACCCAACGCCGCGCAGCCCGCCCGAGCACACCACCCCGTACGTTCGCAACGAGCAGCTCATGGAGAAAACAAACGGCGAGACGGGGAAAACTTAATCAAATGTCGACAAGTGTGAAGTGATATACCTAAATAGATAGCTGCTGCCGTGTCCGTGTGCTGGTGGAGGCAGGCGGACTGAGACGGTAGTCATTTTATTATCGAGTGAAAAGAAAAAAAAACCTATCAAACGGCGTTTCGGTGCACACCGTGTCCGCGGTACAGTAGAGGTACCTGTCGACCACCGACCAGCATTTCCCCAACACTCAAATGGGTTCGTCTGCGGATTTCAAGAGCCTCGAAGATGAACTGATCGACAATGTAGAGAAAGACGTGCGTTATTGGCAACAGAACGACGCCAAGCTGAGGGCCGTGAAGAGCGTGTCCACTTACCAAGAGTTCAGGTAAGCTTCAGGCTTCTGGTCCGCGGTGGCGGCTCTACACCAGACACTAACCAGACATAGATTTTCAATGAATGCCACTTTTTACAGCGACATTGTCAAGGCAGCTCATCTGCGTCCATTGACCAAGAAAGAAATCGAGTGCAAGAGCCACCCACCAGCAGTGTGGAACAACATAGTGACAGCTCACAACATGCAAGACAGCAAGCAACAGAGTCCTGATTTTGCGGTGAGTGCCTATTCAACAATTATGTCAATTGGCGACTGTGCTGTGTTACACGCTGACTGTTTTTCATTTCCTTCCGTTAGGTCGCCGACGTCGACATCAAGGATAACATACCAAGCGCTTGCTCTCCAATAGTCCAAGAGTTTATTCTGAGTTTCCGCCGTCTCAGCACTGCCAAACACAGGTACAAGTACTTGAGTCTACATGGTGCTGAAAATGTGGCCGCCACGTTTCACACCGAAGAGATACCTCCGTCTGTTTTGGTTGAACTGCTCGAAACACTTCTCATATTCCCATCAAATAGTGTCCCCGACATAGTCGCAGTCACCAGACTTTTAGACGTGATCACCGGGACGAAAAGGTAAGCCTACCACAGCTCAAACCCAATAATATTATTGTATGTAGGTACCTACTTTATTAATTTTCTTTCTTTTTATATAGATTTGAATTGGCCATTGAGTTTTTGAGTTCAACCGAGTTGGACACGTTGTGTAATCTGTTCAACAAATTAGAGGAAAGCCTAAAGTCTGGTCAGCAAGATTTGGCCGAACAAGGAGTTACTGAGTGGAGTTTGAGTACACTAAGGAGAAAATATAAAGTCTAAACAAATTACGATTGTTCAGTATTAATAGTGAAAATATTCCCAATCCTCCATACCTTATACTTATCTACATATCACACGAATCCTTGTACCATTTTAAGTGTTTAGTGAGAGAATAAAATAACGACTGCTATGGTCACGTCATAGATGCAATGATTTTATTATAACATCCCATTTCAATATCCCATCGCACGATGTGTGGCAATATGTATTATTTATTTTATTTTTATTATAAAAGACTGATTATACTCCCAATATAATATTATAATTATACTGGTTATCATTATTTTATTTTGCTTTATAATATGTTGACAAAAATTTGTATTTGTTTTTTTTTTTATGTATTCATTATTACAGAAATATAATGTTTAAGACTAAATAATATTCTAGTTAGTACTTAAATTTGTTCCCTTGGTACCAATATTCTGGATCTACTTTTGTGATTTGAAAATAATTTGAATAAAGCCGTATCCAAACCTAGGATACTTTAATTGTCGAAAACATATTTCCGACAAATATTTTTTTGCTCTGGACCGAGCTTAAGACGCATTACATAGTTGCATAAATATACTTTTTATTTTTCTATTTCCATCACAGGTTCTTCCTTGGTGATGATTAGTGTAATGCTATTAAAATTACTGTGTGTACTACATTATAGGGCGTAGTATAATGTATGTTGCCTTGGTGATGAAATTAAAAAGGTCAAAATTAATAATTTAATCAAAAAGTTTTGGAAAATAGTTGAATTAAAAAACACTTAAATAGTTTACTAGAGTATACACTATGACATAATGTTTGTTATTCATTTAACTTAATAAAATATTTACTCAGTTAATTTGTATATTATTATTAAAATGTATTTATAAAACTTGAAGTACTTGTAATTCATTTTGCAAATACATAATATAAACTATTTAAGGGATTACATAACCTTAAATTTATTTTAAATATTTTATGATCAGTGGCCCAATTACAATGGTGTACATTTTACATGCATATATTATAAATTATATAGGTTACCATACAAATTGATATGTACATTTTAGTTAATCAAGCCATAATGAAGGTAAAATATAAATATAAAGATATCAAATAACTGTTTGTACATGCATATAATTATATTAAAGTTTGAAATAGGTAAGAGAAGTTAAGTGACATGTTAAGGGCCGATCAAATTTGTATTAGAATAATATATTTATTCAATACCACGGTTATGTATAAGTCACTATTCATTAGATATCCGTGGTGTTCAATGATACATTTTAAGTTTACACATTAAAATTTTTCAAAAAAAGATTAAAATTGGGAAATTTTACATTTTAAACTATAATATAATAAATATATAAATATCAAAATTAATAATTAAATTAAAATACCTAATTCTTGTAGATAGCAGTAGTAGTTATTAGTTATTAATAATTATCCATGTTATACACATTACACATGTTTAGACTTAAGATTATGTACCTACTTTGGTGATATACACACAATGAACATTTTATTTTGAACAAAGACCATACATTTAACAAAATATGTTACATATTTTACATAAATAATGAGCATAATATATTATATACAATGATTCTGGGATACATTAAAATTGTTATGGTAAATTTATTGAGATCATGACATAAACATTTTTGATGGAATAAAACATGTATTTTAATTTGTATCAGAATTATACGGAGAAGCAGTACTTGCGCTACCACTAGATGAACTATCTACAGTCTTTTGTTCCAGCTCTTTTTGCTTTTCTTCTAAAATACCTGTAATCCATCGATAACAATAATATTAAGACGTACCCTCTAAGCTTGTTATTTACCACAATATAATAATTTTTACTTTTCTGTAAGTCTGGATGTTGGACTTTAATCTTGGACCTAAAAGTGGCTATCCTCTTAAATGTACTGTCCAAGTCTTTGCGTAACTCTGCCAACATTTGAGTGTGTTTCTTCAGATCCTGACTTGTGGTTTTCAGGTGACTCATGGACAACAAATTGCAGTTGGTGAGCATTTCATTGGTCTTTTCAAAACGCTGCAACCTTAAATCAGAGACACACACACAAAATCAGAAGAATTAAACAACTCTCGGTTTTGGGGCTGTGTTAACGGTTTACATTTCTTTTTGGGCAATGATCATGGACTCGACATCTTCCTGGTTTACAATGCCAGCGATGCCCTGAATGAACACCTCGGGCGCGGTGTAGTTCTGAAAGCACTCTATGCTCGGAGTTTCGTCTAATTCGCTAGTGGTGTCGGCCATTTCGCGTTCGGTGGTTGAGTATCTGTAATGAAATAATATAATTACCAAGGACAAAGAATCCGAAATGTATTAATTTAAAATGTAATATATGAACCATCAGATCGAAATTTCAGAATTTACTCAAATTTAATGATACAAATAATAACAATATTATGCAGCTATACAGAATAGTAAGTTCTAAGTTTCTAACCATAGAATATAGATATGTATACAAAACCAGTTTTATAATAATATGGTATATAATTAATGTCTATGTATGGTTGTAGCTTTGTAAGTTGATAGGAGGACAGGACAGAGTCAGCAGCCAGCAGGTAATAAATTCCATAACAAATTATACATTATAAATTGTCATGATAAATTCTATTCTAGTCTTTTTGAATAAATTATTGTTATGTTATTAATTTTATTATCATCATGACAAATAAGATCAATTGTCATGATTATCATCTTATCATAGAACATAGATGTTATCATCTATATCTACAACATCCGTGGCGAAAATCAAAAGTGAAACTTCTTTGACTTATTATCAACTTTTTGAGGTTCTGAGTTTCTGTCATCTGAAATGGTTTTGTGTGTTTAGGGTTTTGTACTTTTGTGTTTACTACTTTACTAGTTTACTGTAATACTATATGATATTATAATGACAGTATGACACCATTCATATTTCACAATATTTATTAATATTTGTTCATACTTCGTAGGTATGTACTTAGTATAATCGTATTCATTATCATAACTTATAATATTCATAAGCAAGTCGTTTTCGGTCGAGTAAGTTAACATACTTCTATATTTCTATTATTCTATATAATAAAAATGTTTTAACTTATCCTTCCGTTTTATTTCATCAACAGCGTTTTCAAATATGTCGCTGTCCAAAACGACAAACACGTATAACCGACAGAATTGGGAAGACTCCGTAAGTATCTGGTTCATAAACTACTTTAAATTTTACCTTACTCGAATCATGGATTGAGACACGCCAATATTACTGTGTGATTGTTTCAATTCCAATTTCTAACTATATGGTTGAGTTCAATTTTCAAGAAATTCACTTAAACTTGAGCTAAATTCTCAGTTTTACAAACTTAAGACATAAAGGACTTTTTCATAGTTATAATTTATAACTGATATTTCATGTTATACATTTACGTGGTAGAAAATTATGAGCCACAAGTGTACCTTATTTTTATCTAAGAGGTGAAACATTACCTTGGGCGGATTTATGTATTTTTATCAATTTGTTGTCTGTACTTTTTAGTTCTAATTAAAATATATTATAATATAATGTATATTGCGTGACTGATGCAGAGTTGAGTATTTATTTGAAGAGTTATTTTTTATTCTTTTATTAGAAAATACAGCAATTTAGTGTTTAATATTTATAGATCTGTACAGGTTTGTTATTAAAGTAACTATTATGTTATTGGCAGTAGGTATAACGATAAATGTTGCTTCTGTAATTTTATGAATTGTCTGGCATTTACCATATCAATTGCAACATTATAATTTACTCTTGGTTAAATTTGATGAACTTGAATAAGTTAGTTTTAATTACCACAAAATTGATCTTGAACTACCTAGTTAATTTTGAAAACCGTGAACTTAATTGTTCAATTTATTATGGAACTTTCACATCAGTTAATAGTGTGTTACATGAGAACTGCGATAACTTTTTAATCTCCAGGGTTAAATATTATGTAGCCCTTCTTTGCCAACATAACTTTTGTTTAAAAACAGTTTTAATTATATTGTACCTATGATGAATTCCAATAATGTCATGTATCTAAATGATACTTAATATTTTAAATTTTGTTTTAGGACTTTCCAATTGTTTGTGAAACATGTTTAGGAGATAGCCCTTACTTGCGAATGGTAAGTATATTTACATAACATAAGTTTTTATATTTTATAACTTTCATCATCAAGTTTTATTTTAGGCAAAAGAAAAATATGGCAAGGAGTGCGAAGTTTGTGCGAGGCCGTTCACAGTATTCCGTTGGTGCCCAGGCGCTAGAATGCGTTTCAAGAAAACTGAAATATGTCAAACCTGTGCACGGCTAAGAAATGCTTGCCAGACATGTTTGTTGGATCTCGAATATGGACTTCCTTTACAAGTAAATTTTTATTTAATTGATTTGATGTATATGACAACTTTAAATTTTTATTAACCGTAGGTTCGTGATGCTGCATTAAAAATTAAAGAACAAATTCCCAAGTCTGATGTTAATAAAGAATATTTTGTTCAAAATATGGATTCTGAAGTGAGATACATAATATTAATTACTTTTACCAAAAGTGTAACCCTAAATTAATTGTTCTATTGTATTTAGCTAGCTAAAATGGATGAAGCTGGAGGAAAATGTCAGAATGCTAGTGATGTACTGGCCAAAATGGCTCGCAAAGCTCCTTACTATGAACGTAACCGACCACACATTTGTTCATTTTGGGTGAAAGGTGAATGTCGCCGAGGAGAAGAATGTCCATACCGTCATGAAAGACCTACAGACCCAGAGGATCCACTTTCAAATCAAAATTTCAAAGACAGGTAATCTTATTGTTAATTAGTTATAAATAACGCTCTAAATGCTTACCAAATGTACTACGATGCATATAGTACTTGCACTTTTTATATTTTTATTCTTGGATTTGTGCAAGTTTTTACATTGAACATTTTAGTTATTTGTAAGATTTATAGCATAGCAAGTTCTTTTCTGAAATTGTTGTGATTTTTTAATGTAAATAATCATTAATCTAGTAGTATATAGTAGTTACCTTTATAAGGATGTCAACATAAATACTTATTATCATATTATTTTTAGGTATTATGGTGTGAATGATCCTGTGGCCGAGAAAATGATGAACAGAGCCAGTGAAATGCCAAAACTGGAGAAACCAGAGGATCAAACAATCACAACACTTTATGTTGGCAACTTGAATGACATAACTACAGAAAAAGATTTGAGGTAAATATTGTACTATGTGTAGTATTATAGTTGCTAAAGATTTTTTTTTTATAACTTTCAGAGATGTATTTTATCAATATGGAGAAATACGAAACATTACTCATGTAGCTCATCAGAATTGCGCATTCATTCAGTATACCACACGAGCTGCAGCGGAAATGGGAGCTGAAAGCACTTATGGTCGTTTGACATTGGGTGGACATAAATTGAATGTACGTTGGGGTCATGCCCAAGCACGTAAAGATAAGGAAACTACTAGTATAGCGGCTATGAAAGAAACCAAAATGAAACCTTCGCCAGGATTACCTGCTCCATTACCACCATTGCCTACGGAATTACAAAACAATTTTTTCAACATTACTCCTCAAGCAGTTCCGGTCGTTGCTACACCTTTTATACCTGTCATGCCAGCATTACCTCATCCGAGTATGCAGTACATGTCAACGCCCCTTTACCCTCCCGGTACAAGCAAATGATATTTAAAAAAAAAAAATTATAATTCTTTTTTTACATGTTTTTGATCTAAGTATAACAGACAACTCCGATAACCAATCCCAATTATTATACAACTACATATAAATATCACATTTAGAAATAATAAAATACTTGAAAGACATCAATTCTGTAGTTTTTATTGTATAATGTATATTTAATATTTAATTTATTAAATTTGTCTGTTTTGGGTGGACTATCGAACCAGAAAATAATCTGATTGAACTATCCTGTTCCTCTAAAGCCGCGTCCACACTAGAGCACGCACAGACCGAGCATGTGTGCTCACGACGCACAACGAACGCGAGCCGACTAGATCGGCTCGCGTTCGCCGTGCGTCAAAATCGCTCTTGCGTGCTCTAGTACACATGCTCGGTCTGTGCGTGCTCTAGTGTGGACGCGGCTTAATAGTATTTATATCAAAATCGTTATTAAGAAAATTAACTCTCTTAAGGATCATCATAAAATAACGTTTATTGGTTTAATTTAACATCTGCAATCTTCAATCGATTTAAATTATCGTAAAGTTCTCTTTTTATTTGATATATCACCTAGTTCATCTTTTTTCCGTATTACATAATTGAACTATTATCTAAAACAAATTATATTTAATTGACCGATTTTTATTTTAATAAGCTTATTAACATATAAGTAGTTTCCATATTAACAAAGTAGTGTATACTTAGATTTTCTTTTCCAATAATAAAATAAAGTATAACAAAGTCAGCAGTATTAAAATAATAAAACTGTGAATTTGTAAATATTTAATAACTGAAATTAGCTTTAAATAAAATAATTTCTAATTATTTAACTTAAATGTTTGGCATAGGTTTAAAACAATAAGTAAATTGATTGAGAAAATGTAATTAAATTAAATACATATGAAATATTGTTCAACAGTTAAATATAATAAATCAATAAAAAAAAAAACCTAAATAAAAACAATCAAACAAATATATATATAATATATTGAAAACAAAAAATTTTATTTTAACAACAATAAAACCAGTAAAAATTGTTATTCAAAATGAACACATACAGATATAATATAGTACTTTACCCGTAAATAAACATACATATTTTGTTATTGAAAAAAAATACAAAACACCAATATATTGTCATGACACCGTAATAATAACTAAATACCTACTTCACTCTTTTGAAGTGCTTGATATTTAAAGAATCCGTCACCGGGCAGAGGGGGCAAAAATGATGAACTGTACCAGCCCCTGTATGTCACAAACCACGTTGACATTGCCACTATGCCCGCCAATAGTTTTTCGGGCATTGTGTGGAAATACATCATCGTTGTGATGAGCATTAACTCCCAAATAGCGACAAAAATTGTGATTACTATGAATAAGACTTGTACGAAAGGTGTCATCTTCTTATAAACTGCTTTCATCTCTTGCAGTTCCTCTTCTTTCAAACTGCTAAATGTGGTCGCAACTTTTTTGCCTTCTTTTCGAGCGTTCTCTTCATTTCTCAACACATCTTGAATTTTATCCCAACCAATGATAGGCCTCGCTTCACTAATCATCAACAGTGTACTATATATGAGTATGAAAACGTGGCCAGAAACGTCAAACGATTTCCATAGGTGACCAGCAGACTTGCACGCTGATCGGGTCATTCCCCTGCTCCCCGAACACTTGCCGTAATAATCTTCAAGTCGATTGAAAGCGTTCGTCCAAAAGTACCAGAAAAATGTGGCGACTATCAGACGAGTGGCATGCATGGTAATGCTCGGACGAGAGTTGAGGCAGAACACCTTGCTGGTGGCTACTAGAAACGACAGCGTCCATAGCAGCGTCCAGAACCAACCCAACTTGACCAGGTACTGGTTGAGGAACGTGTCGCTGTTGGCAAAGTAGATTTTCGGGAACTTGATGAAGTCACCGACTACGGAGGCGACCAGCAGAATCAAGTACACGAATAGCCGTCTGTGCGTCGAGAAAAAGAGATATTTTCTGCATGCGAACAACAACACCGTCAAGAATATGTTGGACACGGTCGTCGGTTCCCTGACCAGCAGCGTGCCTTTGGTCTCGGATCTCATGGCCAAGCCCGTAGGTATGTAATTCGATTCGACCGACCCGGACCGAGTGCTCCGCTTGGTGGTCATGTCTGGGGACCGAAATGCTGAAATTGAATTCCGTTTACTGTGTGCACAAGCGGACGACGTGTGAACGAAAGATATTTTAATTCCGCGAAGTAATGATACGTAACCCGGTAACCGTGTCACATCGTCATTTCCGTACATCCGAGGTATGATTATTGTTAGCCGTCTCGGACCTCGGTGGCTCCGGCACAGAAAACAAAGATTACTTCTAGGCACTTACGTTTTACTTTCACCTATTCGGACATCCATCATCACCGTCGTGATCATTAAATATATTTTATTCATTATTCATGATAACAGCACAAGTGATTCTCGACTTGTCACGGATTTTATCAGAAGCCGAAAGTCCGTTTTTGTTTTGTTTTTTTCATAGATAATATATAATTGATAGGACCACGATGTAGCGATGTAGCGTAACCATGCGTAACCGAGGTTTAAACTATGATTGTAAAACGGGCCAATAAATTATTTATTATAAATTATATTTTATCACAGAACAATTATTTTTACAGATTTTATAGAAATCTGTGGTAGCTGCTGATACTGTGTAGACCATAGACCTATAAACTCTATGGTGTAGACCACTGATGGACAAGAAATAAGAATACTAATAGATAGGATAATATTATTCTGTTGTTTGTTTAGAACATTGAAAACAGCGCCACCTGGTTTTTGATATACGAACTAAAATATTCAACTTTTATATGTGAGGATTGAAAATTTAAAACAAGGTTCCACGTAAATAGGTTGTTTATAAATTAGTTTATTCACAATAATATTATCGAAATATTAAATTTTCTTTCCAATGATCACCTTAAAAGAGAAGCTAAAAATATCATAACAAAACAAACTTATAGCGTAAGGAATGGCATCTACTGAGGGACAACAAATTAAGAGAGGTTAAACCCACTACCGATAGATGGATTAACAAAATAAACCTAACAAGAGAACAAGAAGAAATTTTAACCCGCTTAAGGATTGGACACTCCTGGTATACGGTATACCCACAAACACCTCATGGACAAAACAGACCCAGAACCATGCATCACCTCAGGATCCGAAATCTCCATCAAACATCTTCTATTAGAATGTCGCCAATTTAATGAAGAAACTGGAAAGAGCTAAATACAACATTCCAAGTAGTATCTTCTCAAAATCAATTAAATTTTTAATAGGTAGGGAAGTCAATAAGTGATGATATTATGCACTTTTGTTAAGGGGCAACATTTAGGCAATTTCTAATCTTGTCATAGCCTCCCGGCATTTATGTGTTAGTTGTAAATTATTATTAGTGCGAGTGAAATTAAATTTGGTTATCCTCTCTCGTACGCGCGTACACATGTCAATAATTCGATAACCATTATCAATTTCACTACACGAATTTTACAAAACATACATAAATACATTAGTTTTGAGTTTTGACAAAATTAAAGTTGGTTAACATTGTCTGATTTTGATTCTGAAAAAATATTTGAATTCAGCAGAAAAATGTCTGCAGATCGTATGAAACATTTTAAATTAACAATTAAACAATTAAATTTTAATTTTAATTTTAATTTTAATTATGATTCGAAAAAGTTGATATTTTCAAGTTTTCAATTACAGTTCACAATAATATAAAATTTAGTTTTTACAAAGTGCTTCGTATGATCCATAGACAATTTCCTGATGATTTCAAATTTTTTTTTCATAATCAAAATCGGACAACGTTACAATAACTTTAATTTTGTCAATACTTTAAGTCTTTTCAGCTAAAATTGACGGCAGTAGCGAGGCCCCTTATAAGGCTGTTGAAAGTGGGTCGTTTTTTAGGGGTTTAGTAAGTTCCCACACGAAACAGCAGGTAAGCGGGTACATATGTAAGTTCCCTCAGGGAAAAAAAATACACCCGTAGGTACGTAAGTTCCTACACGAAGATTTATTCAGACTTAGGACTGACAACTTAAACGTAGTTGGTCCAAATATATAATAAGAATTAATAATAAAATGTGTATAGGTATGGACGTATGGTCCACACATTATTTGTACTTTCGCAAGCGTTTGTAGTAAGACTTGTATCAGAACTAGCACTAGCCCGAATACTAGGGGGGAAACTATATCAATAACAAAATATCAGATTATAACTTAAAAATAAATACACAGTATGAGTAGAATGTGAAGTGTTTGAGCTTTCGCAATAAGCCAAATAAAATTTAATTTTTCCTATTACTATTATTATTTTATACCTATACAAATAATATGTGGACCATACCTACATATTTTATTATATATTTAGACTAGATTCAATTAAAAAATTGATTGTACTTTTTTTATGCAACACAAAAACAAACAAATTTTAACCACACCAACTACATTCGAGTTGTCAGTCCTAAGTCTGAATAAAGTGGGACGGAAGTTTGTATTCGGCGTAATTTTTTTTCGTGTGGAAACTTACATATGCATACCCGGGTGTGATTTTTACCTGTTAGGTATATCTTGTGTGGGAACTTACATTCGCCCGTTTTTATAGGGTTCCGTACGGTAAAACGGGACCCTATTACTAAGGCTTCGCTGTCCGTCCTTCCGTCACCAGGCTGTATTTCACGAACCATGAAAGTTAGAAAGTTGAAAATTTGAAATTTTCACAGATTATGTATTTCTGTTGCCTCTATAACAACAAATACTAAAAATCCTAGGATATATAATATAAGCAGGGTTGCCAACATGTTTATAGCTGATGATGGTACGGAACCCTTCGTCCAACTACCTGCACTTGGCCGGTTTTTTCGTGCATTTTATTACTTATTTATATTAATGCATATTATATATCCTTTTCTTTCGGGTAGTTAGATATTTAGTGTACAATTTATTATAAAACAATTATTTACAATAAGTGCAAGTGCTGTACGATATACCTATGTTGCAGGGTTGATTGTGTGTGAATGAATAGAGGCTCCCATTGAAGTCACAATTTGATTTGGGAAATACGATATATATATATATATATATATATCGTATAAAACTTTTTACTCATTTTTTTGACGATTTAATTTATTTTCCAATGTACCGTATCCCTAACCTATAGGTATTTTTATACAAAAATAACTGATATAAAATGTAGTTTAATTAATTTTGAAATTTTGAAATTGAAAGTAAATATGGGTACGTAAATATGTAAATTACATGTGCTCACTTCTCACCGACTTCTTAAATTAATTTAAAGCTATGATAAGCCCACTGCTATCTCTCCTCCTCTTAGTCATCCTATAATACACAAATCACGTCAACAGGCTTACTGCTGGGTAATTTGTCACTCATTGTAATTTTGTATTTAATTTTAATTTTATACATATTATTACAGATTGTATGTATTTCATAAAAAAAAAAAAATTCTTGTGCATATTATATTAATAAAAAAAGATAAATATTATAATGATGGTAAGACTTTCTTAGTACATATAATATAATATAGAAAAATTATACTTTATCAAATAAATCGATGTTATTAGTATAACCAATAAAAATAATTACTATAGATAAATATATATTATATAAATCATAACAATATAGAACCATCTTATCTAATAAAGTACCAATTTCCTCATCATAATTAAAAGTAGATACATGACAAGAATGTAATAAAAAAATAAATATTTATTATGTAAGTATATTATTTAAATCACTCATATTATAACTATAGCACAAAAAATCGTTGGCTCCACAAGACCGACTAAAAAAAAAAAAAAAAATATCAAACAATTTGACATCAATTAATTTTATTTTAGATTCTGAGTGAAACGATGAATGTATTGATTTTACAATGATGTGTGTTTTTTTATTTTTGTGTCTGTGTACACGATAAGTAGTCGAAATAATGCTTCGATTTTCGACTTCAGTATCTTGTTCGATTGGAAAGTGAATATCGTTGGTGCATTGGGGAGGTCAAAATTTAAAATTCCCAATAGTTTTCACAAGCGCCGGGAAAAACAACATAAAAATGAAGGAAAAACGGGAATTTTTACGCAAAATCGGTTTTTGACAAAATCGATTATGGTTTTTGGTGTAACTTTAAAACAAATGACCGTAAATACATGAAATTTTCACTGGTTGTTTATATTTGCATTTTCTATACACGATAACATTTTCAAAATATTTTGATTTATTTTGAACTGTTTAGGGACATTTTCAGTTTCCAATTTTATTAGTTTTTTTTTTTATGAATATCAATAAAAATTTATTTGTTGAGTAAAAATACTTGAAAATGTAATACAAGGCTCCTACTATATTGTTTCAAAGACAGATGAAAATATTAAAAATCGTTAGTCACAGTTTTTTTTTTAAGCATTTAAAGTTCAAAAAATGACAAAATATGGAAAAATCACGAAAATTTGCAAATTATTTCTAGTTAGAAATTCATAAAAATTTTGCTTTTTAAATCTAAGATATGAAAATGTAATACAAAATTCCTTATAAGATTTCCTACATTTATCAAAAAAAAAATTCTATAAGAAAGTCAAATTAAATTTTTATGAGCGTTTGAAATTCAAATTTTTACAACATTGGATATTCACTCGATTTCTCATGTGGCCATTTCCTTATTTTGTTGTAATTCAAAAACGAATTACTGTAGATACATGAAAATTTCACTGAATGTTTATATTAGCATTTCCTAAACACCATACAATTTTGAAAATATTGTGACTCTTTTTGAGCCGTTTACGGACATTTTCAGTTTTCAATTTTTTTAGTTTTTTTTTCCTATGAATATCAATAAAGTTATATCTGTTGGGCCAAAAAGTGTAAAAAATTAATACAAGGCTCCTGATATATTGTTACAATAGCAATTGAAAAATATTAAAAATACACAGGCATAATTTTTTTTTATAAGCATTTAAAGATCGCATTTTGACAAAATTTATCAATCATCGTAATTAATAAATTATAAAATGTTCAGTTTTTATAGCTAAGGATTGAAAATTTAAAAAAAAGATTCTCATAAATAGTTCATACTGGAACCAAAAAATCTGAAAAATATATGAACACAGTTATTTTTTACAGACATTTTAAATTCAAATTTGGACGAAATTACATATTAAAATCAATATTAACGATCTTGGGTTTTTTGTTGTAATTTAAAAATATTATTCGGGGATATATGAAAC